ACACACACACACACACACACACACACACACACACACACACACACACACACACATACACACAAAAGAAAACCAGGGGGTGGGTAGGAAGAAGACATAACAACTACAATTCCTTGAAGTTGATACGACAAGCAAACAGAAAGGACATTGTTGGGTGGGAGTGGGGAGAGGGAGGAGGGAGGAAGTTTTCGGTAATGGGCCACAATAATCAACCACATTGTATATCGACAAAATAAAATTTTTTAAAAAATAAATAAAAATTAAGAAAGGAAAAAAAAGAGAGTAGACTAAAATAACAAAAACCAGAAATGAAAAAGGAGACATTACAACCAATACCACAGAAATACAAAGAATCATTAGAGACTATTATGAACAACTATATGCCAATAAATTGGATAACATGGAGGAAACTGATGAAGTTTTGGACACATACAAACTACCAAGACTGAACCAAGAAGAAATATAAAACCTGAACAGACCAATAACAAGCAACAGAATTGTAGCAGTAATCAGCACTCTCCCAACAAAACAAAAGCCCAGGACCAGACGGCTTCATAGCTGAATTCTGCCAAACCTTTAAAAAGAATTAATACCAATCCTTTTCAAACTATTCCAAAAAATTAAAATGGAGGCCAGTCTCTCAAACTCATTCTACGAGGCAAGCATCACCCTGATACCCAAATCAGAAAAAGAAACAAGACAAAAAGAATGCTACAGGCCAATATCCTTAATGAACATAGACACAAAAATCTTTAACAAAATATTAGCAAACAGAACACAACAGCACATCAAAAAGATTATAATACATCATGATCAAGTGGGATACACCCCAGGGATGAAAAGATGGTTCAACATATGCAGATCAATAAATGTGATACATCACGTCAACAAAGGCAAGGACAAAAATCATATCATTATCTCCACAGATGCAGAAAAAGCATTTGACAAAATCCAGCAACCCTTCATGATAAAGACCCTCAACAAATTTGGTGTAGGAGGAAAGTATTTCAACACAATAAAAGCCATATCTGATAAACTCACCTTCGACATCATCCAGAACAAGAACAAGACAAGGATGTCCACTCTCACCACTCCTATTCAACACAGTATTGGAAGTATTAGCTAGAGCAATCAGGCAAGAGAAAGAAATAAAGGGAATCCAAATAGGAGAAGATGAAGTCAAACTGTCCCTGTTTGCAGATGACTTGACCCTACATATAGAAAAACCTATAAACTCTACAAAAAAACTCCTAGAGCTGATAAATGATTTCAGTAAAGTTGCAGGATACAATATCAACATGTAAAAATGAGTAGCGTTTTTATACTCTAACAACTAGCAGAAAAAGAAATCACGAAAGCAAGCCCATTTACAACAGTCACCAAAAAAACAAAATACCTAGGAATAAAATTAACCAAGAAGGTGAAAGATCGCTACACTGAAAACTACACAATAGCATGGTACTTGCGTAGAAGCAACAGTCACCAAAAAAACAAAATACCTAGGAATAAAATTAACCAAGAAGGTGAAAGATCGCCACTGAAAACTACACAATAGCATGGTACTGGCGTAGAAACAGGCACACAGACCCATGCAACAGAACAGAGAACCCAGAAATCAACCCATGTACTTATAGCTAACTGATATTCAACAAAGGCACTAAGAACACACATGGGGGAAAGGACAGCCTATTCAGCAAATGATGCCAGGTAAACTGTATGTCCATGTGTAGAAGAATGAAACTAGACCCATACATCTCACCATATACCAAAATCAACACAAAATGGATTAAAGACTTGAATATAAGACCTGAAACTATAAAAATCCTAGAAGAAAACATAAGGGAAACACTTCAGGATGTAAGACTGGGCAAAAATTTTATGAATAAGATCTCAAAGGCACGGGCAACAGAAGGGGGAAAAAATGTGATTATATCAAACTAAAAAGCTTCTGCACAGCAAAGGAAACAATTGACAGAGTAAAAAGACAACCTACGGAATGGGAGAAAATATTTGCAAATTATATATCTGACAAGGGATTAACATACAGAATATACAAGGAACTCAAACAACTACACAGTAAAATAAAAAAATAACCCAATTTAAAAATAGGCAAAGGAGTTGAATAGACATTCTCAAAAGAAGAGAATGGCCAACGAGTATATGAAAAAATGCTCAACATCACTAATTATCAGGGTGCAAATCAAAACCACACTGAGACGTCATCTATCTAGACTGGCTACTATCACAAAGACAGAGAATAACAGATGCTGGTGAGGATGTGGAGAAAGAGGAAAACCTCTACACTGTTGGTGGGACTGTAAATTATTACGGTCATTATGGAAAACAGTATGGAAGTTTCTCAAACAACTACAGGTCCCAGAAATCCCACTACTGGGTGTATACCCAAAGGAATGGAAATCATCACGTTGACGGGATACCTGAACTCCCATGTTTATCACAGCTCTATTTACAATAGCTAAGATATAGAACCAACCTAAATGTCCATCAACAGATGACTGGATAAGGAAAATGTGGTATATATACACAATGGAATACTACTTAGCCATAAAAAAGAATGAAACTCTGCCTTTTGCAGCAACATGGATGAGCTTGCAGGAAATTATGTTAAATGAAACAAGCCAGACACAGAAAAAGAAATACAGCATGTCCTCACTCATAAATGGGAGTGAAAGAAAGAAAGAAAAAGGGAGGGAGAGGGAGGGAGGGAGGGAAGGAGGAAGGAGGGAAGAAAGGAGAGAGGGAGGCAGGGAAGGAAGGAAGATCATGATAATATGTTGACTTTTCCGAAGGAGAGAACAGAACTGTGGTTATTAGAGGTGGGAAGTGGGGAGGAGGATGGAGGGTTAGTGAGAAATTGGTTAATAGATACAAGGAATTATTATGTTTTGTAATGAAGAACATTCTAATTATCTTAATTTGATAATCACACACTGTACACAGGTATTGATATTCAACTCTGTACCCCACAAATATGTATAATCAATTATTTTTCAATTAAAAAAATCCCTACATACCAATAAATAAAAAAGTAAATTTAAATGAAAATTGTAACTGTAAGAGAAAGGTAGGAAGGGATGACATCTGGCACTGAAATAGGCACTGAGACGGTAGTGGTAGAAACTAGGACTGCAATGGCCACTGGGCCACAGCTATAAGGAAGAGCACTGCTGGTCTTCCCATAATACTCCCTTGGATTTGGGATGCAGCCTCCCAAGTCGTACCTTCTGTACCAAACACCTCTCCACAGTGAGAGCAGAAGAAGTGCTCTGGGTGCCAGGTCTGGTTCATTGCCGTCAGCACTTTCTGGAAAAGGAACACACAAAGAGATATTCGAATGCCGCAGAGCTGTAAAACATGACCCCAGTTCTAAATGAGTGATTAAAAGCTACATGTAAGATGGGGCAGGGCAGAGATTTACTCACATCCTGGATGGGAGCAGCACAGTAGGCACAACGTGGAGAAAACAGGTGGTGGTAGTCCTTGGGGCAGTAGGCCAAGCCACTCCGCTCAAAGAAGGGGCTGGAGCCAATCTCCTCTTTGCAGTGAGTACAGACAAAGTGCTCTGGATGCCACGATTGTCCCAGAGCATGGATAACCTGGGGGATGACACAAAGCCTGACTTGAAAGCCCAGTTGAGTGCTGTAGAGTCTATAGGTTGCCAACAACATCCCCTATAGTTACATAAAAGGCCTAGACCTAGGTTCCACCTAAGACGGTCTGCTGTCTGTGCTTTATGGACAGTAAAAGGCTGCCCACTTTCCTGACTGTTCACTCTGATAAAAGCTTGTAAATGTTCGTCACCACTCTACTCTCCCAGAGGGTGGTAGAAACAACACAGAGCACAGCCTTGGCATGGAAGGGACCCCTGGAAAAGGAAAAGGCCAAATGGTTTTTATTCCCCTGGGCTACACACCCGATTTCATGCCCCATGCACAGTCAGGCCTCAAAGCCATTTATCGTGACTGTGATGAAGGATGATGTACAACAGGAGCTTCCACATGTGATCTGTAGTTGAGTTCAGCTGAAAACTGTAATCAATTTAGACTGGGAATGTTTGAACAGAGGGAGCAATGAGAAAGTTCATCTCAGTAAAGGCAGTCCAGAAAAATGGTTAAGGACTCAAACTCGGGAGTCAGATTCTCTTGGTTTCAAATCTTACCTCTGCCTCTTACTAGACACTGGGCATGTCAGTTAGTGTCTTTGAGCCCTCAGTTTCCTTATCTTTACAAAGGAAATGATAATAGAGTCTCCATGAAGGGCTAGTGTGACTATTAATTGAGGGAATACTTGTAAAGCACTGAGCTCAGTGCCCAGAGCACTGTAAATGATCAGTAATTATTAACCATTACTAAAATGTCTTAGAATATAAGGAGAAAAAGCAGTCCTTGGTGGGACAGAGACAGACAGACAGGCAGACACAGATGGCTGTAGGACCAACATCTCAGGCAGTCCCACCTTCCCAGCAATTGGCTTCTGGCAGGAAGCACAGTGGCCCTTGGGTACTGTGGCAATCCCAAGGTCCTGCAGTTCCTGTTCCAAACCCCCAAGCATTGAGTCCAGGGATGCCTTGTGATCCTGCTTGTCTGGTAAGTGTTTCTTGCCAGCATCTGCTTTCACTGCAACCTAGTACAAGGAAAGAACCATGGAGAGAATCAGCCTCATGGGCTTTTATCCTCATTGACATTTTTTTAAAAATGTATTCATTTATTTTCTACACAACTCACCTCTGCTGACTGATTGCTTAGTCATTCCCTAACCTTTCTCTAAGGCACTGAAGGAATTTAACATTTTAACACCAATAAAAATGCTTTCACCTCTGTTTCATTTTAAGCTTCTCAGTCTGAATGTAATCTGACTAATCTTCCCTAACATTTTAACACCAATAATGCTTTCACCTCTGTTTCATTTTAAGCTTCTCAGTCTGAATGTAATCTGACTAATCTTCCATTTCTTACTGTAGAAAATTGAGTGCATGATTATACCCTTTCTAGCTCTTATGGTGACCCCAGGTGAACAATTAATCACATCTTCCTTTTGTTCATTTATTCTGCAATATTTGTCTAACCCCTAATTTGTACCAATCAATGCTCTGGGCACTTGGAATAAAGCAATGTACAAGATAAACCAAGTCTCTGCCCTCATGGAATTTGCAGTTTATGGGTGATAGAAAATAAACAATTAAACAAATAAATATATGTCATAATGTCAGGTAGATAAAAGTTATGTTATACATGGAGATAGAAGTGACAGAGGGTGGGATGGTGAGGAAGAATTAATTTAGGTGAGGATGATTACAGAAATCACCTCTGAGGAAGTGATATTTAAGCAGATATTTGAGTGATACTTAGGGGCCCAGAAATATTGACATTTGTGGGAAAAGAATACCAGAGGGAAAGAAGGCCCTGAAGAAGGAAACAATTTGGCACATTAGAAGAAAAGTAAAAAAAGGTGAGTGGGGAGTAAGAGTTAGCATAGCAGGAGAAGAAGATGGAGAGAGGCAAAGATCACACAGGACCCTCATGGTGAAAGCTTGGGTTTTATTCTAGGATGATGGGAGCCACTGAGGACTTTCAAGCATGAGAGTGAAGGCATCTGGTTTATAATATCCCTGTGGTAGCAGAGCAGAGAATTAAGTGTTGACAAGCAAGAGTGGATGCAGGGAGACTATTATATAATGACTTAGACCAGTGTTAGGAGAGACGGTGGTGAGAAATGGTCAGATAAGACTTGCTGACAGATCGAATTTATTTAAGCAAAACATCAAAATGATTATTGTAAATCATCCAAAGTAAGATGCTCAAATTACAAAAAAAGATGCGTATCTTATCTCTCATCACCTCATGTCCTGATTCTGGCTCTCTCTACTCCTTTCTAATTGAGCTACTCCCACCATCTACCTAATACTTTGTTGATCAGAAAACTACAATGGCTGTCCATTGCCTCCACATCAAATTTGCTCTCATCAGACAAACGTTCAAAGTCTCCCATCTATTGCCTCACTTTACCTTTCCAATCTCATCTTTTGTTATGGACTCAAAGGCCTCCTTGTTCAAGGCAAGCCAGGCTCTTTACAGTCTCCTAGATACCATTTGTTACTGTCTGCTTTCAGGCCTCTACTTATTCTATTTTTACTGCCTGGAATAACCGCACATTATCTCAGCAATCAAATGCTCATTTCCTTTCATGAGACTTTGATCATCTGACAGATTTCCTTCCTTCTCCATTAGATAATGTTAGTTAATATTCAAGAGGTTAGTGTTCAAAAGGTTAACATTTGAAAGGCTTGAAAGAGTGACTGATATTAAGTATGAAAAATAACTAAGAAAAATAAGTCAATATATCTATATTTATATTGTACATGTATATCTCTTTGCTTTTATGTTCCAGAATATTTCTGAACAGACATATAAGAAACAAGAAATACTAACTACCTCCAGCGGGCAGAACTGGATGGCTGGGAGAGACAGCTGATAGGGAAACAGTTCAGTATAAACTTTTTTGTACTTTTAATTTTCGTACAACGTTAATGTATGGCTTATTGAAAAAATAAACAGATTTTTTAAAAGATATAAATAAATCAAGACACATACTAAATCTCTTAGAAAACACAACACAATTAGATCTCCTAAGGCAAATTTTTTCTAGTATTTTCAGATATGAAGCACAATGAACAAATCCACCCAGTTTTATTGCTGACGTCGACCCATCAAAGAACACTAGCCATTAAAGAAAACTTGTTTGTGATGTTTTTTCATTTCTCCCTCTAATAAATATGTGTTACTCACTATGTGCCTGGCACTGTGCGGGACATTGGGAGTCCCAGGGTGAGTCCCTGCCCTGCCCAATCATACACATTTTTATGTACTGCCTTAAAATTATTTCATAGTCACTTTGTGAATGTATACCAAGTCCTCCAAACAGATTTAGAATGGTTGGATTCTCTGTTTTAAGAATTCTAGATTATATTTCCCTTAATAAATACTTAAGCCCACTTACCTGATTTTGTTTCCTGCCAGGCCATATGAGATTACCACTAGCCTCTAGAAGCTAGAACAGGAAGCATATTTTATCCCAATATGGGCTTGGGCCTCCTCGTCCTTCTACTGTCAGAACCACACTTTGATCTCCCTTGCTCTGTCTCAGTTTGCCCATAGGTCTTCTCCTCTGTCCTGCTCAGCCAGACATCTTTAACAGTCCTCCCACTTCATTAGGCCTTAGACGCCTATGCCCTCAGGGCTTAATCCAACTAAAAAGACCTCTCCTCCAATCTCTTTATGTCCAAACCCTACCCATTCTTCAGAGTCCATCCGAAGTCCCATCCCCATCTCTCTGGTAAAATCCCCATAACCTCTCTATACTCCTAATGTTTGCTCCACATATTTTGGCAAACTACCTGTCTTCGATTCTGTAAATGTTACAGATGCTTATGCCTCATTTTACCAAGAACACTCCAATCTTCTTGAGATCAGGGCCTGTATCGCATCATCTTTTGTGTCCAAATAACACATAGCACAAAGTTGGGTTAATCCATTGAATTAAATTTAGTCTGGCATTATTCAAAGGAAGACATACAATTGGCCAAGAGGTACATGAAAAAATGCTCAACATTACTAGTCATCAGGGAAATGCAAATTAAAACTACATTGAGATATCACCTCATCCCAGCTGGAATGGCTATAATCAAAAAGATGGTGAATAAAAAATGCTGGCGAGGGTGTGAAGAGAAGGGAACACTCCTGCACTGTTGGTGGAACTGCAAATTAGTACAACCACTATGGAAAACAGTATGGAGGTCTGGCTATAATCAAAAAGATGGTGAATAAAAAATGCTGGCGAGGGTGTGAAGAGAAGGGAAAACTCCTGCACTGTTGGTGGAACTGCAAATTAGTACAACCACTATGGAAAACAGTATGGAGGTTTCTCAAACAACTACAGATAGATCTTCCATACAATCCAGCAGTCCTACTTCTGGGTATATGTCCAGAGGAATGGAAATCATCAGGCTGAAGGGACACCTGCACTCCCATATTCACTGCAGCTCTGTTTACAATAGCCAAGATATGGAACCAGCCTGAATGTCCATCAATGGATGATTGGATAAGGAAACTGTGGTAATATATACACCATGGAATACTACTCTGCCATAAAAAAGAATGAAATTCTCCCATTTGTAACAACATGGATGAGTTTGAAGAAACTTCTGTTGAGTGAAATAAGCACAGAGGGATAAATACCACATGTACTCACTCATAAGTGGGGGCTAAGAGAGAGAGAAGGAAGGAAAGAAAGACCACAGTGGTGTGCTGGACTTACAGAGGGAGAGAACATACCTAGAGATGCAAAGAGGAGTGGGGGAAATGGGTAGGGGTAGGGAGGTTGGGGATAATTGGTTGGGGGACACGGAGTATAATCGCAATTTGTGGTAATGTGCATACTGCCAGTATGAATCTGGCTATCACATCTAGGGCAAGAGGGGGGACAATCAGCCTTGTGTCTCATGAATATTCATAACCAATAAAAATAAATGAATGAATGAATGAATGAATTTAGTCTGGAAAAATGAATGACAATTAAAAGAATTCCTAAGGGGAAGAATGAAGAGTTGAGTTCCACAAAGACAAACTGGTGCCTCTGTGGGCCCTGGAGGCTTTATCATATGACTATACTCACCTTGGCCTGCATTTCACTCAGATGAGCCATGAGCTCATCCAGTTGAGTGGCTGCTGAGGTTTTAGGAGGTGGTGGGGATTCCTTTCGCTCTTGGATCTCACTATAGAGGGGAAAAAAAAACATACTAACACATTGAAACTCAAATAAATGTTAAGCCACACACAAAGTGCCAGAAAATGCAATTTTAGCTATTAACCCCTTAGACGTGACTCTAAAGCCAGGGACAGAGTATTTAAAAAATGGGTACTATATTGCACACAGCTATTGATATTGAACACTGTACCCCACAGACATGTACAATCAATTATGTTTCAACGAATTAAATAAATAAATATTTCTTTAAAATAAAAAAAATAAATAAATGGGTACTAGACTAAAAATCTGAACAAGGTCTCTCTGCCTTTTGCCTCTATTTCTCACTGTTCATCTCAAAAAATAATCATTGTTCTCAAGTGGACAAAGGAAAGTGCTGGACATGTAGCTGACAGGCCATTCTCCCCCAACTACCAGGTATAGAGCAGCCTCTGAATAAAGCCACACTTCTAAAGTACCACTCATATTGCTATTGATATATAACTATATTAGAAATATTATTTCACAGCTATATTCACAGCCATAATTGAATATACCTTCAACGTATATTGAAAGCAATGTTCAGTTCATTTAAGCAAGTCAGAGCAAGTGGTGGAAACAGAATGCAGGAATATAACTTCTGAGTCTAATATTCTATCTGAACACGCTAGCCTTGCCAGCTCTGAGTTATGCCAGCCTCGGGGATTAGTATCAGTCTATTACATATTTACTAGGTCTCCTGGATTTTATATCATTCTCCACATAGGCCTACACAGCAAGAATCTTTCAGTAATGGGAAGAATATCAGTCAAAGTCCAGTCAGGAAAACACAAACCACTGTGAGTAAGCAGGAAGAATTTAATCCAGAAACTTGATTACACAGGTGACGGCAGAGCTAAGAATCAAAACGGAAGACATTGAGGTAACCCAGAGATTAGCTGTGGCAAGAAGCCATTACAACACTTAAGCTAAAGGGACAAAGAGGCAAAGTTACCAAAGTCCAGGGGCCCAGGTCAATGGGCAGAAGCTGGAACCAAAGCAAACCTGTCATGCTTCAGCTAAAGCCATAAAAGAAAGACAACTGCTGACAGAGACCTGTGGAAAAAGAGTGACTAGAGGGTGGGGAATGCCCTGGATTTCTGTACTTTTTCCCTCCAGTCTCTCCACAACGCCTCCCATTGGTTGAAGCTAATGAGAGTCAACTAACCCTGGATCCTGTGCAAGGGTCAGCTCCCCTGGGATGCATAGTAAGACAAGAGTGGGGGAAGTGATTGGAAATAGGCCAGAGACCCATACTATGTGCAGGGAAGGGAGTGTCAGTAAGTTAGTATCAGTGTGTTATCTATTGACCACAATGCCAGATACACCAGAAAATGGCTGTTGGTTGGTCCAGTTTTCATGTTATATGTTCTTGTGTTCACTTGTATTTCTACTGAAGACTTGGTTTCCTAGATTTAAAAAAACAAATATTTGGGCCGGCCCGGTGGCGCACTGCTACAGTGCGCCGCTTGGGAGTGCGGCGGCGCTCCCACCGATGGTTCGGATCCCACATACAGACAGGTTCCCGCTCACTGGCTGAGCGAGGTGCGGACACAACACCGAGGGTTGTGATCCCGTTGCCTACACAACACCGAGGGTTGTGATCCTGTTGCCGGTCCCGGTCCGGTACGGGCACGACACTGAGGGTTGCGATCCGTTGCCGGACACAAAAAAAGGAAAAAAAAAAACAAAAACCAAAAAACAAATATTTACTGAGAACCTATTGTTTACCAGGTTCTGTTTTGTTGTTGTTGTTTTGCTTTGTTTTGATTCTTTTAATCAGTGCAGTGGGGGCTGGTGGCGGCATGGAGAGCAAGAGGACTAGGAGGAATGTTCATCCTGCAACTTCTTGGAACTGGCAATTTGTATTAATAAATTGGCCTCACTTCCACCACAGTAGCAAGAGCCCTCAAGTGGGAAGTTTTAAAAAAACTTCTTGTAGCACAGTCCTTCCCCTGTTGTTGTCTCATCTGTGTCACTACTGGTTGCAATTCTGAAACCAAATAAGGTGCGGTGTACTACTCTTCACCAGGAGGAGTCTTTACTGTCTGTACTTTAAGCCTGTTAGTTTGTTTCCCAGAAAGATGTATGATGTTAAAAATTGCAAGCTATAACTGAAGAGAGAACAAGAAAAGTGACCTTTTTATTTTTTCAGACTGTCAATTCTGCTCTGGCTAGAAGAAATTATTTAGTGAGTGAATCTGTCTCAATATGTAACTTTTATTAAAAGAAAATGCCTCCACCCAATAAATAAATTTTGAGCAAATATGGAAAGAAGTATATACTCATTAGAGACCCACCATCTTAATTTACACCGATCCTAGCTTTGATGTTTTGAAATCTCACGTAAGTTTCTTCAGGTGTGTTTTCTGTCTGGTGACCTGGAGCATGATGTCTGGAACAGCTGTGCCAAAACATCTGTGGCCTTTCTGAGACTATTTTCAGGTGGTAAAGGAAATAGTGGAAGCCAGGCACTGTGAGAAGTTGCCAAGACAGCTTAGCACAAGCTCTGCTCAAAGACTGGAAAAAGGAGGAGAGTGTAGAAGTTCTAATAACAAACACTTGCAAAGTAAATTACTACACAAAGATTGATAACAATTACCTAGTAACTTTCATTTTTAAATATATGTAATAAAAAAAATACCTGTAGACATTGGGCTCCTGGATATTGGTAGTATACACGAGCTGCACCTAAGACATGTGAGTGATGGAGAAGAACAAAAAATGAATTTCTGTTATTAGAATGTTGATGCTTATCAACACCTAAAGATAGAGGATGCTTTTAGCTTCTAGAAGAGACTGATAACTAGCATATCTGTGAGATATCCTTTCATAAGACAGAGGTACTATCAGCCATCCCGCAGAGAATGGCCAAATTCTAAGCAGAGCAGTCGGCATGTGAACAAATACTTGCAGCCCCTCCCTGCCTAGAAAGCACTGAAAAGGAGAAGCAGAACATCCTCAGATAGAAACCATAAAGCAGGCTGGCTGGTTAGTTCACTTGGGAGAGCGTGGTGTTGGTAACACCAAGGTCAAAGGTTTGGAACCACTTACCAGCCAGCTGCAAAAAAAACAAAACAAACAAAAAAAACCAAAAAAACAAAAAACCTAAACCATAAAGCAAACAAAATGGGTCAGAGCAAAGCCCCTTTAACTAGACAGGACCCTACCTGGGGGGAGATTATAACACAGTTAAACTTGACACAGGAAAAGAAATAAGTGTGAATCTAAAGGGTGATTGGTCAGTAACTCATGTATTTATTGAACAAATTTTATTGAGTGCCTGTCATATGCCAGGGCCTGGGGTGTAGTGGTCAGAAAACAAAACAAAACAATCAATAAAATGTGTCTACCCTGGAGCTTACATTCTGGGGGTGAGAAAAAGATAATAAACAAATTAATATGTAAAATTCAGCAAGAGGTGGAAGGTGGGATGTAAAGGAGAAATGGCAATTATAGACATATTGATTGGGAAAGGACTCACTCAGAAGAGGACGCCTGACTTACAGGAGGTGAAGAAAGTAAGCAGATATCTGGGGTGACACAATTCAGGAGAAGGAACAGCAGGGAAAACACCCAGGAGCATCTGTGGAACAACAAGGAGGCCAGTGCGGCCTGAGCAGAGTGAACCAGGGAGACAGGGGCAGAGAGTCAAAGGAGCCAGATCATGCAGATAGGGTGACCATATAATTTACTGTTCAAACTGGGACACTTTTCAGAATGAAAGGGGATTCTAAAAATAATTCATATTATGTAGTTATTGAAATATGTATTTATTGGCCAAAATTTGGTTTTATTAAACTGATGGACGTATAAAGTAATTCTATTCAAAATTTATTTTCAAAATAAAAATTTCTATAATATTTTTAAATGACACATAACTATGAACATTAAAACAAATAATTTAAAAACCTCTATGATTATTTGAACATTTAACAATAGCACAAGTAAATAATTATTCTTGATATATATTCACGTACTTTAATTGGTTACTTAGCCATTGCTGTCTCTAACATTGTGATATGGAAATTTTTCTGAAAAATGTGGGTTTTTTTCAATATGGTGGTATTATTTTCATAGAATTGAATTGCTGATGCTTTTAATTGATGCTTCTCTGTAGACAACTATATGTATCATTTTTAACTGAGAAAATACTCCCTCTATAGCTACCAATGAACCTATAATTTCAGAGAAAATTCTGCTAAATGGAAGATATTCTCAATTTTATTTTTTATATGTACGGTACAGCAGTATTTACTAGGTCTCCTGGATTTTATATCATTCTCCACATAGGCCTACACAGCAAGAATCTTTCAGTAATGGGAAGAATATCAGTCAAAGTCCAGTCAGGAAAACACAAACCACTGTGAGTAAGCAGGAAGAATTTAATCCAGAAACTTGATTACACAGGTGACGGCAGAGCTAAGAATCAAAACGGAAGACATTGAGGTAACCCAGAGATTAGCTGTGGCAAGAAGCCATTACAACACTTAAGCTAAAGGGACAAAGAGGCAAAGTTACCAAAGTATACTGTCTTTTTGCCTCCATGCAGAGCACCTTTCTTTAATAATATTACAAGACAAAATTTACAACTTGTCTCTATTTTTGATTCTTTTTAACATTTCACCAAGTATAGACACTGCAAATCACAGACTTACATAATTTCATTACATTCTGGTGGAGAATATAAATTTATCCAATTAAAATTAGGAGTCAAAATCCATCAAAGTCAAGATTTTCCAAAGCACGATTTTCAAGTTAGGTAATTTAATCGTATGGGCTCTCATATTTTGATTTGTTCAATTTCTCTCCAGCTTTTGTAGGGAGAAATTTGAGCTTCTTCCTTTTTGCAAGCTTTATTTTACATAATTGTAACTTGCTAAAAGCTTCAAAAGCTGAATTTTTCATGCTACATTCATTTAATAATTTGATTAAAGATTTCCAACTGATTTTGCACATAATGCAACCTAAATGTGGGTTGCTTTACAAAGTGGTTTTTGGGAAGCCCAGGAATTTTCAAAATTCAATTAATGATAGGCAACACAGAGAGAAAATACATACAGCCATGCTGAAATCTTTCTTTGTATTATACTGTTTTTTCCTACACATACATACCTATGAATAAATTTAATTTATAAATTAGACTCAGTAAGAGATTAACAATAACTAGCAATAAAGTAAAACAATTATGACAACATCACTACTCTTGTCCTTTGGGGTCATTAAGTTAAAATAAGGGTTATGTGACCATGATAGTCAATCTGATAACTGAGAAGGCTACTAAGTGACTAACAGGTGGGTAGCATGCACAGTGTGGATACACTGGATAATGGAATGATTCACGTCCAAGGTAGCACAAAGCAGGATGGTGTGAGATTTCATCATGCCACTCAGAACAGCATGCAATTGAAAACTTATGAATTGTTTTTTTTCTGGAATTTTTCATTTCATAGTTTCAGACTGCAGTTGACCACAGGTAACTGAAACCATGAAAAGTGAAACCATGGATAAAGGGAGACTACTGTTTTTGATATCATCTTCTGTCACAAAAGTTTTGCAGATCAGTTACTTATATACTCTCTGTATATATATATAGTATTTATAATTTTGACAATTACAGTTTCTAATTTGATTGGTAGAATACTACAGCTTGTTTGGATGCAGTCACAAATTTTGTGCACATCACAACCAATTCCAAGTACATTTCTGCTCCATAGGTTTTGAAATTGGTAAGAACATTGTTTTTACCACAATGCTATGCTCCACCAACATTTATATTCATATTCTCACCACAAAATACATTTTATCTTCACTACTGAGCTTTTAAGTTAAATTTACAATGGCATTAACAATGTCAGATATTTCATTTTTTTGACCAAAGAATGAACTTCCAAATGTTTTATTTTGATCCTTTGCATTAGATTAAAAAAAATGAAATTTTGGAAGTAAATTTTCCAATTGAGGGCTTTGATAACACTGAAATAAAACTGACATGATTTGATGGTTTGCAAAAAGAATCAACTCATTAATCATCACCAGTTCACTTCACTTGCAGGCACAAGAAAACTTGGAATTGAAAATGAGCAACTTTAATTTAGAAAAATCATTCTACACAAATGAAAAGGTGAGCTTCACAATGACATGCTGAATTGTCATCTTCAGGCACATGCTGAATTGTCATCTTCAGGCACATTATTTTATTAACTTTTGAAGAAGATGACAATGCTTCTTCAAAATTAACATGCACTTTTAGGTTTGGTTTTGGTTTGAGCTAACTGCTGAAAGGGTTTATTGTAAAATTAAAAAGTATTACCAAATAATAAAACAAGTGGTTAGAGCTTTACACATACAAATAAAAGCAAAAGTGCTTGAACAAGAACATTCAGATTACACTATACTCTATGGCAAGAATGCTTAGCCTGCATTTCCTAAACATAATTTGTTTGACATTAAGCCACAAGTTCTCATATTTCTTACTGACCCTGAGGAGTCTCTATGCATCTCACAGGCTACCACATGGACCATGGCAGGCCATGAGTGGTGGTACACCAAGTGGCCAGAAGGGAAAAAAGCCTCAACAATTTTCCTGACACCACGAAAGACCAGAGGAGATAGCTGTCTCTGACCGCTCGTGCTTGAGCTCTTAGTTTGAACAGCCAGCACCCCACATATTATCCTAGAAAGGCTGCTCCTAGTTAGGTTTTGTCTGAACAGGATCAGGAAAAGAGATGAGTTGTCATTAGTCATCTTTTGTATTTAGTTATAGTAAGTGAGAGCTCTGTTCATTGCATATTTGTCTTATGTACTGCCAGATGAGACCACGGAAGACGCCAGAAGGGCCAAGGAGAGGTCTGTTAAGCCACGCTGGCTTACTTTAACACAAATGCTAATAATAAAACTTCAAAAAAATAATTGAAAATCTGGAGTAAAATGTAAAGTCAATAGGATGTCAGAAAAACAAGCATAAACTCAGGCCTCTTCTAGGTAAACCAGGACATATGGTTACCCGACAAAGGTCAGCATAAAGAATGTGGCTTTTACTCCAAATGAGATGGAAAGTCATTGAGGAGTTTTGAGTAGAAGAATGACATGGTCTGACTTAAGTTTTAAAGGATCACCCTGCTGCTATGTTGAGAACTGATTGCCTGGGGACACAGGAGCCTATGACTATAATCTTACAGTGAGAACAAAGATGATAGCTCTCTAGTAGAGAGATAAATGAGTATCCTTAAAACTGCGTGTATGTGTCTGGAAGGAAAAACATTTAGGGAGGGAAACTACCCACCAGCTCAAATTTCAGGTCTTTGCTACTGTTTATTCCGTAGAGTGTACAAGGATGAATCAGAATGTCACAGTACAAAAACGACAGATACAAAGGGCATCTACTTAATTCTTCTTATACTAATTACATTCCCAGCAAGCAACCTTCTAATTATAATGTAGGTTCACATAGATTTATCCATAGGAAGATAATAAATATATTAGCAAATAGTAATATCTGTTCTACCTGACAGTTTGAAGTGTAACCACAAATTAATAAATTGGACTTCTGGGTTTTTCTTATACATCATCTCTTGTGAGTTTAGTTAGCTTGATTTGGTTTTCTACATTGTCATCATCTCTGGGAACAGTAATAATTGAATTTCCTAATCTACTCAGCAGAAAATAAGACCAGAAAAGTAGTGACCCTGAAAAGTCACCCTGAGAAAACCTTTCTGAGCTGCCATTTGGCTTTCCCGGAAGTGATCTCTGGCCTTACTGAGTTCCATTCCAGTCCAACTGCAACATGCATCTCTGATGCCCAGACAGTAAAATTGGAATATCCCAAGTGAAGTGGGCAACACTCTGCCTGTTATCATGCCCTTATTAGAAAAATATTAGTTCTCAAAGGTTTAGTCTTCTGTAATGATTTTCTCAATTCTCCTGTCTTCAAAAACAATCATCTTTAACATCGAGGGATTATTTTTTCCCTCTTTTGGATATGTGATTCTCTTTTTGTATCATTTTATGTTTGGTACAATTCATTTTTAGAAATGCACTCAAACATCTATATTCAAGATATTACAATAAATGAAAAGTTACTGGCAAGGGACTTACATTATCCTGAACGGACAGGATCTTTGAAGTCTCAGCAAGGTTACTCTCCTTTCCGGAATGCTGATCCAGGAAAAGAGGAGCTGGGTTGGAATATTCACCACTGTCCTGGAGGGTGGAGCGTTCTAGTTCCTCTAGTAAGGCATCTATATCATAAGGAACAAGAGAATATGTAAGCCTCTAGAATAATTTTTCCATTAAATATCACTACTGTGCCCCCTATTCATCTCTTTCTCTTGGGTTAAGGCTATTTTCAAACACCTTTCCTTCCTCCTAATTTCACTTCAAGAATATGGTCTATTCTACCAGGAGAAGTTTAATATGTCCACATATTGTGGCTTGTTTCTTATTTCTTGTGGTTGCATTCAATTTCATAGTCTCACTCTATAATTTGACTTCTTATATTATAGGTACTAATTTTTATCATGTGTTTAGGGAAGATCACCCACAAAGATCCCCAATTAAAGTTAATCCTAAATATTTTCCTAGAAGAAAAATACAAGCAATTATATTACCATTTTTCAAAATATACCAGGGAAGTAACATTTATTCTTAATCCTGATGAATTTTTGGTCTTAAATCTCAAGAATTGTTCCAAGCACATAACAAAATTCTCAAAACAAAGTATAACTATTCTGTGTTTTAGGGTTTGAAGAGTAAGTATAATAGAGTAAGATGTTTCAATCCAAATAGTCGAGATTTGTTTCTCTTGCGGTTTTCTTGGTAAAAGCCAATGGACTTTACAAGTATTCTGGTACCTTTCTGTTATAATGAACATACAATAATAATTTATAAAAACAAATACATGCCAGTCATGGTGCTCAGGAGTTTACCCATTTTATTTAATCATCCTAATGCTTTGAGGCAGATGATATAATTGTCCTCATTTTGTAAATCAAGAAAGAGACAAAAATAACTTGCTTAAGCCCATGAGTGCAGAGCCAGGACTTGAATCTGGGCTGTCTGATCCCTAGCCCCCCACTAACTGAAAGTTAGAAGTTTCAGTCCCCATTCTCACATGAATTCTCTGGGTCACCTTGAGCATGACATGTTCTTCTCTAAAGCTGTTTCCTCATCTACATAATGAAGCAATTGGATTAGAACAATATTTTTCAAATTGTGGGCCAAGAACCATTAGTGAAACTCTAGTTTTCTTACCACAGGTTATAGTTTTTAAAAGTTTGCAAACTAGATTATATTATTTCTACGAACCTGCCTAGCTCTGAAGTTCTAAGATGAGAAAAATAAACTTTATAAGTCATTAAAAAAAAAAACCCTAAACAAACAGATTTTCATTTATTTCAGATTTTGAGATAATGGGTATTTCTTTTTTTTTCCTTCTTTTTTTCCCTAAGTAATACACTTTATTTTTATAGGAGTTTAGGTTTACAGAGAAATTGCGCAGAAAGTACAGATAGTTCCCACAGAGAATGGCATTTCTTAATGGCATTAGGAAAGATCTAATCTTTTATTACAAATAAAATCTATAGATCTTCCTCATTCATTTCACAAAAATGTTGACTTTTATGCACCATTTAGAGATAAGCAAACTGAGCTAAACTATTCTAGGTGCAATAATGGTATTTTATGATATTGAGGAATTACTGTTAAGGCTGTTGTGGGCTTAAAACGGCATTATAGTTATTTACATTATTATTTATTTATTTATTTATTTATTTATTTATTTATATTTATTTATTTATGCGATCAATGCCGAAATATTTACAGATTAAATTGTATATCCGAAATTGCTTTAAAATAACACAAGTTAAGGCTGTTGTGGGCTTAAAACGGCATTATAGTTATTTACATTATTATTTATTTATTTATTTATTTATTTATTTATTTATTTATTTATGCAATCAATGCCGAAATATTTACAGATTAAATTGTATATCCGAAATTGCTTTAAAATAACACAA